AACCTGATCAATTCAAATTATTTTAGTACACCTTGGTGACTAGAAACAGGAAATTGTTTTACCATGACTTTCTGTTTTAACAGGGCCATAATTGTGAGGCAACTGCATAGTCCAAATTCAGTTTTCATTCATTTAAGAACTTAATAATTAATAATTTATTTACACCATACTTGGTACTACTAATCATTCACTGTGTCCCAAATGGCACACTATACACTATTTTGGTATCATTCGTAACTTTTGACTGTGGAAACAAAAATACTTGTTAAATGTAGTGTACTGTATCAGATCATACTGCTTGATGGAAACGAGCCATTATAGAGTTTTATTTATACAGTTGAAGTAAGAATTATTAGCCCCCTGATTTATTAGCCCCCTCCCCGTTTATTTTCTCCCCAATTTCTGTTGAACAAAGAGGAGATTTTTTCAGCACATTTTTAAACATAATAGTTTTAATGACTCGTTTCTAATAGCTGATTTATTTTATCTTTGCCATGATGACAGTGAATAATATTTGACTAGATATTTTTCAAGACACTTCTATACAGCTTAAAGTGACATTTAAAGTCTTAACTAGGTTAATTAGGCAGGTTAGGGTAATTAGGCAAGTTATTGCATAGAGATGGTTTGTTCTGTAGACTATTGAAAAAATTATTTGGCTTTTATTGTAGCCGAAACAAAACAAATAAGACTTTCTCCAGAAGAAAAAATATTATCAGACATACTGTGAAAATTTCATTGCTCTGTTAAACATCATTTGGGAAATATTTAAAAAAAGAACAAAAAAAAATCAAAGGGGGGTTAATAATTCTAATTTCAACTGTATATAAAACTGTGTTTTTTGCAGATTTTTGTTCTCAATAAGAGCAGGTTTTTATTAATATTGTATTAATTTAATTTACATTTATTTTAAAAGGTTATTGAGCTTCTCAAAATTGAAAGTGGCTTTAAGAAAACATCCAAAACACAGAATATGCCCATTTCCAACATCAGGCCAATAATTAAGTCAGTTCTATGTGTTATGAATGAGCTTTGAAGAGCGCACATGTTGGTCTTGTCCAAACACAGTTAAGAGGATAGTTCGAGTGGACAAAAAAAATCATCTGGAATCACAGCTGGAGAATTGAAGAATTTAGTTGGGTCAGAAAGCCTTTGAAACTACAATCAGACAATACCAGCAGTATATCACCACTGAGAGTTTAAAAGGTTTTCGGAACAAAAAACTCAATTTTTTGGAGTTCAACGTCAGTTTTTTTGTTAATATATTGAACATATCAAGGTAAAACACAGCCTTTTCACAGCCTTCTTGCTTATATGTTCTGAGTGTGTTAGTGGAGGGTGTGTGGTATATGTGCTCAGTGTGCTGTCCTCGTCTGGCTCCTCTCGATGTCATAGGCTGTGTTAATGTCAGATTGTGCTCAGGTTGCTGATAGAGACTCTGGTTTCTCTATGGAAGCTGATGCCAAGTTCACTGTCACTCATGTCCACTCACACCTGTCTGCCTCGGCAGTGCTTGTAGAGTTTGAATATTTCAGAAGGGGAATGGGTGACAAAATAAACTGGCCTTTAGACTCCCTGACCCTAACCAAAACCTCAGATCAAAAAATGAAGCACTCCATTTTGTGCCGTTTAATTGAATTAATAGGAACAGCAATAGTTTAAGTAGCAAAACACATCTTTTTCCAAGTAGGCATGGGACGAAAACCGTTTTCAAGGTATACCAAGGTTTGGAAGAGTCAAGTTTTTAAAATTTTCTGCTATACTGTTAATAGGGTATGTGTAGGATTTTTTATTTATTTAATTTAATATGTATATATATTTTTTGTTTATTTTATAATTATTTTTTGCACAACAGTATCTCCAACAGAAAAGATATCTAAAGATGCTGTTTTAAATTGTTAAGAAATCTGTGTTTTTTAAACAAATGAAGACAGCAGAAGTCAATAATTCATTTTAATTATTTAGATTGACACGTTTACTGCTCCAAAATATTTAAAATGCTTCTCAAAATAAAATATATTGTGTTCAAAGGAGGAAAAAAGTTGTTGTTTTTTACCCAGACATTTAAAAAGAATATATTTTGGAGCAGTAATCACAATACAGTGAAACCATTAAACCTTGATATTTTTATCCAAGGTTATCATACCGTCAGAATCTTATATCAGCCCATGCCTAGTTTAAAATAGAACTCTGTTGTTTTTTTGACACCTATGCTCACCAATGCTGCATTTAATCTAAAATGTCTAGATTTTTAAATTCTACTTTTTTTCCTGTTAAGTCAAAGCTGATTTTTCAGCATCATTACTCTAAAGCCCAATCCCAATTCTATATTTCTTACCTCTACCCTTCGCTTTACCTTACCTAGGGATAAGGTAAGGCTGATTTATACTTCTGCCTCAAGTGCACATGTATGCACACACACGTAGCCTTCGCGTGGTCACATAGCCCTCACCATGGCCGTCGGCGACGCACACACGCACCTCTCAAAAATGTAACTATACATCACAACGACGCAAATTGCAAGCTCTGTGATTGGTCGGCTTGGTAGCGCTGAGTGTGGATGTGATCGAGAGCCGCGTAGACCCTTTGGAGCGAGTGTTTACAAGTGTCAAGTCCCTGAAAGTAACTCTAGATAGAAACTTTTGTTTTATGTTCATCTTATGATTAACGTGTACTGTGCATTTACTTTAGCCATTTCCATCTGTATAAACACAAGAAAACAACATTAACATCATACCAAGCAGACACTGTAAAAAGCTCTTTCCCAGCCATTACACTTTTTTCGACAGGGGATTCAAGTGTTATCAAGTGTCAGATGTGAGAGTATGCTGTTGGACTCTTATACAGGAGTTATTATTAGTTATATATAGCGAAATGTACTAGTTTTTATTTTAGTGGGTTATTTAAAAGCATGACAGTAAAACACGATCGCCATTATGAAAGTTCTAAAACACCTGCTTGTTTGTTGTCAAAATTTGTGACAATAACAAAAAATACAGATTTGTGCATCTTCTGACTTCTATGTGCAGTAGCTTGTGTCAAGAGTGATCCTGGAAAATTTCCAACTAGGGCTATCCCTTGATATTATTCCCCTTAGCACTACGCCTTCAAGCTAAAGCGGTTGGGACACCCCTTAACGTAAACAAGAAAAACGAGGGGCATGAGTAAGGGGAAGGGCTAAAGGGTAGAATTGCAATTGGGCCTCAAGTATCACATGATCCTTCAGAAATCACTATAATATGATAATTTGCTGTTCAACATACCTTTCATAATAAAATGATCAAGTTTGAAAGCAGTCTGTGCATTTACAAACACTACAAAATAATTTTGCATGTACATTTTATTTGCATTCTAAGTGTCTCTGGCACCACTCTATAGTCCGCTTGTTAAGTCATGATGTGTCTGTGACATGTGAGATACTGTATCACCCGGTATGTTTACAGCATTTATTTCATTATAAACGTGTAATGGTTGAAAAACACTCAGTTTATCATTAAGTTGAAATATTTGAACTTCTATTGTCATTATTATCCTTCTAGATAATATTAAGTAAGTATATCAGCCTGTTTACTGTATGTTTTTGTAAATACATTTTAAAATTATGTGTTACACTCAGAAATAAAGGTATGTAATCTGTCACTGAGGTGGGACCTTTTCACAAGGTAGAGATTTGTATCTAAAGGTACAGACTTTTACCGGCAGCTAGCTCTCTGCATCTTTCACATGGTTGCCCACTGACGCTAAGCAGGGCTGTGCCCGGTCAGTACCTAGATGGCTGACCACATGGGAAAGCTAGGGTGCTGCCAGGAAGTGGTGTTAGTGAGGCCAGCAGGGGGCACTCAACCTTTGGTCTGTGTAGCTCCTAATGCCCCAGCATAGTGACGGGGACTTTATACTGCTCAGTGAGTGCCGTCTTTCGGATGAGATGTTAAACCGAGGTCCCGACTCTCTGTGGTCGTTAAAAATCCCAGGATGTCCTTTGAGAAAGAAAGTAGGAGTTTAACCCCGGCGTCCTGGCCAAATCTGCCCACTGGCGTCTGTCCATTATGGCCTCCTAGCTCTCCCCATATCGTAATTATATTCCCCCCCCCCCCCCCCCCCCAATGTGTTTTAAGAGTAAGATGTAAGGAATTATTATTATTATTTCTAAAAGGTATATATCAATACCTAAAGGGTACATATTCATATCTAAAAAGTACAAAAGTGTTCCTCTGAAAAATTTGTAGGTACTAATATATACTTTTGAGGTACAAATATGGATCCTTCAAGTACAAATGTGTACCTTTTGAAAAGGTACCACCCCAGTGACAGCTCACAAACCTATACTTTAGAGAGTGTAGGCTGAGTCACATCAATTAACTGTAAAATGCAAGTTGTAGATTTGAGGTTTGTATTCATTTCACTTGTAAAGTATCCGTGGAATCTGAGGCTTCTAAACTGATCAAAAACACCATGTGTAAATCTATGTTATGTGTTGTTGCAAATGATGAACATTTGGGTGTTTTTATTATATTTTTATATAGTTAGATCAGAGAGTGGATGTCTGTTTTGTCCGTTGACAGCCCAAGGCTCTGTTCATCCCATAATATTTATTTTCACGCCTGCATTAGCATCAGGGTATGTAAACGCAATCTTGTTTGTTGTTCCAGTGATAGAGCAGCTGCACAATGAGTCATCTTTTTTTTTCTTTTTTTTTTACCACTTCAGTATACGTGTCATTAATATGACGAGATCATCACCACTTTTTAAAAATTTTGTCTTCAATTGATCTCCAGGTTAATGCATGACATCGATTATTGATTCATGAGAACCGTAAAACATGTTTACTTATTTAAGCACTGAGTATGAATATTCATGAGTGTGAATTATTAATCAGATTCATTCCACACACCATTTTCTGATATTCATGTTCTTGCCACTAAATAGATTTCATTGGCTGAGTGTAAAACGTGTTTAAGTCCTTTGTTTAACGTTGAACTATTTTTGTTCTCTCTCTTCAGGATGAAAAACAAGTTGTGGTACTTTGAGTTCGGCACCACAGAGACCATTTCAGCCACTTGTAAAAAGCTGAACGAAACTATTGAAGTGGAGGTGAGTTCGGGACATTCAGCCTATCAATAGTGGCCTGTTTTAGCTTACAGCGAATGTTGTAATTATATACAGCCACATTCACAGTCTTTTAGCTGTGCGCCGGGTCAGTGTGTCCACTGAACACTTCCTTCAACAAACTGTGATTGGTGAATGCAGCTGACGACAGTATCTACAGTAAACCTCAGGCTGCTCTTGCACCGTCAGTGTTGAGGGAAAACCTCAGGACGTCTATCTGAACACAAACAGTAGCAGGCGAACACTGTTGACAGCATTCCCAGCATGTGATCCTTTCACACTGACCAGTTTGTGCCCGTGGTTGCATGTTCATAATGAATAATGGCCTTTCACAGGCAGTGAGGAGTATTTCTGGTTTTAAAATGAAATTGTTTCTAAATTATATTTATTGTTTTTTTGTTGTTGTTGTTGTTGTTGTTTGAACTACAAAGAAAAAAAATTAAATGTAATCAAAATTAAATTTAAAAAACTATATCAAATTAAAGTAAACATAAAAACTTATGAAATATTGAAACATAGGGAATCCAACAGATGGTAAAAAAAAATTGGGAAAATTATTATAGAAATAAATGACATAAATTCAAATATTAACAAGACATAATTTAAAAATAAATAAATAATAGCAATGTTCAATGCATATTTTTGTACCTTGCAATTCACAGCTTTAATTAATTTAAATTGATTTAATTTCATAAGTGAAGTTTTACAAACTAATTTCGAGAGGAGCACGTGATATGGTTGATCGTGGCTGGCCTCTCATCCGTAATCAGCAATAATCCAATCAGATTGATTCAAGCTTACAACAAATAGACCAAATTTGCCCTACTACCTTATCTTCGTTTTGAAAGAACACCCCCACCACTCCGTCTCTTTTTTTGCCTCTTTACCAGGTGTAGCTCTCGAGACCTACCTAATATATCTTGTATTTAAAACATGATCTAAAATCTATTTTTAATGCCCAATACAAATACTCTCAAATCTAAATGCATGTACAGTTGAAGTCAGAATTATTAGTCCCCCTTTTCATTTTTTTATATATATATTTTTTTTTCAGATGATGTTTAACAGAGCAAGGAAATATTCACAGTATGTCTGATAATATTTTTTCTTCTAGAGAAAGTCTTATTTGTTTTATTTCGGGTAAAATAAAAGCAGTTATTAATTTTTTAAGGTCAAAATTATTAGATAGTCTACAGAACAAACCAGCATTATACAATAACTTGTCACTTTAAGCTGTATAGAAGTGTTTCAAAAATATCTAGTCAAATATAATTTACTGTCATCATGGCAAAAAATAAAATAAATCAGTTATTAGAAAAGAGTTATTAAAACTATTATGTTTAGAAATGTGTTGAAAATATCTTCTCTCATTTTAACAGAAATTTGGTAAAAAAAATAAACAGAGGGGCTAATAATTTTGACTTCAACTTTATATGTTTCGCTGGCTTGACATTAATGCATTACTTTATTAAAATAATAATAATAATAATAAAAGCATGAAACAGTAAATATTAAATAGTTGCTTGGGGATGTTACCCACATGCTTACTGAGTGAACTGATTTGTCCTAAAGGGACTTTGGCTCAGATGGTCAGTTCTGAAATTAAAAGAGAAATGAAAACATTAGGAGTTGTGGAATTCACATTAGGGAATGAAAGTGGTTTCCTTCTCCCTCTCTTGTGTGGGATCTCACACAGTTTGAGGCATCTGATTATGTCGTAAACATGTCAGTGTTCGTCTTTTGAAGTTTGTGTATTTTTCCACTGTACTGACGCCCACCGTTTGATTCAGGGTGGTCTCTGACATCATACAATACTGTACAGCATTTCTATTTTTGGATCGCCTGGAGGCATTTTTAGGCCAGTTTCACATCTCTCATGTCTGGAATGTGATTGTTATTGATGCAGCACTCCCATTAGTTAAATACATGTTATGGTTTATCATGCCTTTATGGGTGAACGATTTGAACTATTTTTTCTCATGCAGTATATATTAGTGCTCTACAGTTTGATGTTTGTTGTTTGTTGTTTGTTGTTGTTGTTGTTGTTGTTGTTGTTGTTGTTGTTGTTGTTGTTGTTGTTGTTGTTGTTTTTAATGCTGGAACCACAAGAATTCTTTAATTACTGAATGTGGTCATTGACTGTAGTTATAAGACTGTACTAAATAAAATTTTTGTCACGTCATATTTACATCAGTTTCCTTATTCTTATGCTTTTTTCTAACAAAATTCAAATCAGAATTTAAATACCTAAATGATTAAATAATAAATCAAACTCTCAAAACTACCCAAATGATAAATCAAATGCTTAAGCAAAAAGCTTTTAATGTTTTAATATCATATTATATGAAGTCATTAACGTACATTTTTTAATGTAATAAAACTATTATGGGCATTCAGGGTAGAACTAATAAACAGTTTTTTTATTTGAATTGTAAACCTTGTTAGTTTTTTTGTTAAATAAAAAAATTAATATTGTTAGTAAACGCCAAAGCCTTGTGGTTAAGTGTGCAGACATAAAGCACTAAGGTGCTCACAGCGACCTGAGTTCAATTTCTGGCTTGAGGTTCTTTGCCAATCCTTCCCCTTCCCAATCCTCTCTGCTCCCCTGTCAGTTCTCTACACTTTTCTATCCATTAAAGAAAAAATAGTTAAAACTTTACCGATTAAAAAAAAAGTTATTATTATTCTTCAAAGATGCATTAAATAAGTTCAAATTTAAATTATTGCTGCTCATTTTACATTTTAGGTATATATCAAAAAATCTTTATTTTCTAAATCTTTTTTTTTAGAAAAAAGATATATATTTAAGGCGAGGCAGTGGCACAGTAGGTAGTGCTGTCGCCTCACACCAAGGTCACTAGTTCGAGCCTCGGCTGGGTCAGTTGGCATTTCTGTGTGGAGTATGTTCTGTCCGCGTTCGCGTGGGTTTCCTTTAGGTGCTCCGGTTTCCCCCGCAAGTCCAAAGACATGCAATACAGGTGAATTGGATAAGCTAAATTTTCTGTTGTGTATATGCGTAAATGAGTGTGTATGGGTGTTTCCCAGTTATGGGTTGCAGCTTGAAGGGCATCCACTGCATAAAACATGCTGGATAAGTTGGCGGTTCATTCCGCTGTGGTGACCTCTGATTAATAAAGCGACTAAGCCGAAAAAAAAAATGAATGAATATATATATTTAATTATTTTAATTAATATATTATATCAATTATATTAGATTTTCTTGATATTATTTTGCTGACAAAACGACACTTCTTGGAACTTTGCGAAATTTTGATAAAATGTGGGATCCAGTCTTTTTTTTTCTAAAACACCATAAAGACTAATAGTGTTGTTTAATTTCTGAAGATTTGTACGTTTTTTTTTCTCTCTCTCTCTCTCTCTTTACATCCATTGCTGTGTCTTTTTGTAGGTCAGATGTCTTGTATGTTGCCATTTTTCCATGTTTCATGCTTTGCTTTCCATTTTGCACAGATTGTTGTTTCATGATGGGTTTGTCTGTCTGTTCCTTGTCTATTAAAAAAAAACTGTTTTAAAAATATATTTAAAAAGAAATGCATAAATGTGTATCAAATAACTGAACTTCTTTTCAATTCTATTACAGAAAGCATATCAAATATTCCAATACAAAAAATTGCTTGTTGTACCTACTTTCTTTATATGCAGAAATGTTTAATATTTTCTGTGTTGTGTTGCCAGTGTGATGGCATCATCTTGGACCTCAGCAGCACATCTCTGGAGGGCATCGCTGTGCTCAACATTCCCAGCATGCACGGGGGCTCTAACCTGTGGGGCGAGACCAAGAAAAGGCGCAATTACAATCGCATGAGTAAGAAGGTGCCAGAGAGAATGACTGGCAGCACTGTCACCGATGCCAAGGAGCTCAAGTTTTGTGTGCAAGGTGAGTCAGACTTCTGAATATGATCTAGTGCTGTATCTGAAATCACCCCTATACCCTCATTCACTATTCCCTACATTAATCCACTCATATAGTCCACTTGACAAAGTGAATGAAAATGAGTGAGTGAATACGAGCACTTGAAGAGATGTTGTTTTGTTTGTGCTTTGCTGGTTGATATATCCCTGATTAATCAGGTTAGGTTGTAAACTTCTTGGTCAGACCCTGTTATAGTTATTTAACACTTGATTTCTATCATGGCGGCACAGTGGCTCAATGGTAAGCAGTGTCGCCTCACAGCAAGAACTCTGGTTTGAGTCCCGGCTGGGCCAATTGACATTTCTGTCTGGAGTTTGCATGTTCTCCCCGTGTTTGTGTGATTTTCCTCCGGGTGGTCCTAAATAATACTTGAGGAATGACATCTTGTGGTCTACCTCTCACACCATGTCCCACCTACATGAAGTGCAGCGCCGCAACACACAATTAAGGGTACTTTATCTTTCCATGTTAATTAGAGTTTTTGACGTAATCATCTGCGATGGTGACAATTCTGTTTTCGAAATGCTTTCTATATCCACAACATCACAGCTGAACAACAGCAAATAATGACAATGATCACCTCAAGTACAGATTATGTGCTTCATTCAGTGTTAAATGCTACCAATGTGAGTTTACATGCGATTTACATGACAGGCCACACTACTGAAAGAAGCAGCAGCAGATAGTTCACCTCAGATCTTGAAAATAAAGTAACCAGCAGATGGTTTGAAGATGAAAGTCTGAACTGTGACTCAACATTAGTCACTCAGTAGCCTATTAGTAATGTTAAAGAGGTTTAATATGTATTCATTGGATTAAAAGCCTTTGCTATTTCATTGGGAGCGCAGTGGCTGGTAATTAAATGTTTCTGTCATGTCGCATTTGGTGCTGACAGCCAATTGCTTGTCAATGGAATCGTGTTGCATGTGGTCAGGACACAGTGTCACAGTGCATTATGGGTATTCTCCAACACTTTTTCATGGTAATTCGTAACTTTTTGATATAGTGGCTAATTCATATGAATTCGTACAATCTCATTTGTACAATTTAGTAAGAATGTTCAAAGATGCTCCTTGAAAGATGCTCATTCCCCAATGATGGTTGGGTTTAGGCAACATAGGCTCATTCTGAAAATGTAACCCTATATACTTTTCTGGAGATTGTGAATTATGTAGACAGAGCCACGTATGGCTGCATTTTGTCTTTAAATCGAAAGCTACAGGGCAGTATGATGTTGTTTCTTTTAGCATCTACCAGCTGACCACTGACCTCCGTATGGACAGATTTCACGCTGTTACCAGTTTGTTTAGTTAGCTTTCCATGTATGTTGATGGACTCGAGATGCAAAGAGGATTGGACCACGACGACGGTTTCAAGTCTGGTGAAGAACGGTTCCAGAAAGCGGGTAAGATAAAACCAAAGCCAAATGTAAAGTAAACAACAGGGTGAGAATGTGGTAAAATCTCAAAATGTGGAAAAACCAGGCGAGGGCTTTTCTTTTTCTGGATTACTTTTTAAAACTGTCAGTTGGGTTTAGGGAAGTGGGTGGACAGGTCAATCGGTGCTGTTAAAAACACTATTGGTTGGGTTTAGGGAAGGAGGAGGGTGAGTCAGTGGATCGGTCATTCAGTCAGTCAGTCGACAATGGCCTCTGGTGGATTTACGGGAAAACAGCAGGCGCCAAACGGTACTTACAAGTGAAATTTGAGATCTTAAAAAGCGCACACAGCGGCCTCTGGTGGACTCCCGAAAACAAAAACTGAAAAAAAAAAAGAAAAAAAAACGTTCCTCCTGGGACGTATTTGTCGCTTTCCAGAAATGCATATAGCGGTACATTTTCAGAGTGAGCCTAGGTTGGGTTTAGGGGTGTAGTTTGGTGCAATGCCTCCTTTTAAAAATTATACATTTTCGTATGACTGATCTCATATGAATTAGCCACTAAACTGACAAAACGTAAAATAGTTACGTTTCTTCATGAGATCTAGCTGCCGAGTGTATATGGAGTTTACGTGGTGCATTGTGGGATTAAATGAGTGCACTTATGAACTTTCACTATGGTGTCGGGCACCACTAGAAATGGCTGCTCTTCCAAATATGGCACTATTTAAAGGTATAGGGGGTGATTCCTGAAACAGCATAAGTTTCCTGCTAAATATTCTTAAAAGCTTTGACATGCAGTAATTAAATTCAGTAATTGCTTCTGGCTGCTTCATCTAAAAGCTGATGACGAAATTGACCTAAACCTCTGATTTCCTGCCTTTTCTAATACATTTCAAAATTACTGGCCATCTTTGGTTGATCAGCGCACCATGTGGAGCAGTTTCACATTCAGCTCTGACTCACATCTGCTCTTAACCGTCGCTAATGAGCACGAGTCTCTCCGGCTGCTCGTTACTCTGATGTTCGGTATCACTGTGCTTTGGGACTTCCTGCATTCGTATCCCAGAGTGTGAAGCACTATTAGCAGTGTTAATCGGCATTAAGGGATAGCGATATCTGTGTCAGCGCCTCACTGACAGAAGCAGCAGCTTTCCCAGATCCCATACTTCTAGAGGCTTGTGTCACCATCCTACCGAGTGTCCTTCGGGGGAGGAAAAGTCACTACGTTCGGCTGTGTGACGCCAGCCTGCGGGACCCTGGCGTCACCATCAGCTGTCTCAGTCAGAGATCCACTGTTATTCTCAAGGTCAGAGCTGCAGAGACTTTTTCAGGTGCCAGTGAATCAGCTTCCTTCATCAGGCCACCGTTTTGTCCAAAGGAAGTAACCATTTGTCATCATTTTCTCACAGTATATAATATTAGAATTTTTCTGAACATTCAAGGTGAAGGTAGTTGGATATACACAAGGGGAAACTAGACTATCTATGTGTGTATAGCTCTAAGCTGCAGTTTTTTATTCAACATACAAAAGGTTTGTCCTTGGATTGGCTTAGAGAGACTTGGTGAAGGGAAAGGTTACGGAAAGATTGAAAACTCATGAGTTCAAAGGCAGTTTCAGACTGCAATTATATATATATATATATATATATATATATATATATATATATATATATATAAATACATACTTCCTTTCTAATATACACTACCTGACAAAAGTCTTGTCGCCTATCCAAGTGTTAGGAATAACAAATAATAACTTGATTTCTAGTTGATCATTTGGTTTGAGAAGTTGCCTATATGATAGACAAAGGTCTCTAGATTACGCTTATTTTACCAAAATAAAATATGATCATGCCTTGACTTTTAGATATTTAATTAGGACAGTAAGGTCTGACTTTGCTTAGACAAAATTATTGTTACTTAAAGTAAATAATGTACAGGATAGAATATAAAGTCATGGTGCAGTGAAAAAAGAAATAATATTATCTATGACTCCCTTAGAAAGCTGGAAAAAAAAGTGTTCTTGCAGGACTCCCAGAGTTCATCAAGATTCTTTGGATTCAACTTTAAATCCTCCTTCTTCGTCTTACCCCAGACATGCTCGATAATCTTCATGTCTAGTAACTGGGTCGGCAAATCCTGGAGCACTTTGACCTTTTTTTGCTTTCAGGAACTTTGATGTGGAGACTGAAGTAATGCATGAGAAGGATCAAAACAATGTACTGTATGAGAATCTCAAACCATGATTTTTTCTTTACCAAACTTGACTGATTTTTGTGAGAATCTTGAGTCCATGCGGGTTCCAATAGGTCTGCTGCAGAATTTGTGATGATTGGGATCCAGTTCAACAGATGAATCATTTGAAAATCTACTTTCTCCAACTTTTCCAAATGATCATCTAGAAGTCAAGTTATTATTTGTTGCTCTTACAAACTGGGATCGATGACAAGACTTTTGTCAGGTAGTACATATATATATTCTACGTGGAACAGGTTGAGGGAGGAGTGATACAACCAGATGGGAAAAGGGCTGAAGCTAGTAGAATATTGCATGGCTATTAGCCAGTCAGGTTTAAGAACTAGAAGGATATTTGTGTAGTATATGTAATAAATATATTACAAAGTTTATTAATTAGGGGCGAGGCAGTGGCGCAGTAGGTAGTGCTGTCGCCTCACAGCAAGAAGGTCACTGGTTCGATACTTGACTCAGTTGGCGTTTCTGTGTGGCGTTTGCATGTTCTCCCTGCCTTTGCGTGGGTTTCCTCCGGGTGCTCCGGTTTCCCCCACAGTCCAAAGACATGCGGTACAGGTGAATTGGTTAAGCTAAATTGTCCGTAGTGTATGAGTGTGTGTGTGAATGTGTGTGTGGATGTTTCCCAGAGATGGGTTGTGGCTGGAAGGACATCCACTGCGTAAAAACTTGCTAGATAAGTTGGTGGTTCATTCCACTGTGGCAACCCCAGATCGATAAAGGGACTAAGCCGACAAGAAAATGAATGAATGAATGAGTTTATTTATTACATAGTTTTTTTTATTTTATTTTGAGTCATTTGGCATGCAGTGACAGAAGCTTGAATCTTTCACTTTTGACGCTCATACATTTTCATGCAAGTCATTGTGCTGCATGTATTGCTGATGTTTAGTGAGGGCTTTGCATCTTTGATAAACTGTGATGTTTATGTTCATTGAAATGTAAGAATGAGTAATAAATCCATATGAAACAGTCTCTTATAAGTGACTTTGCATCTTCAGTTTCGTGCTCGGACATGATTTGCACTCACACTACAGATGAACCGTGCTTGAGCCAAACCGAAGCATGCTCTGGCCCACTTTTTCACAATGCCAGCCAACCGAATCGTGCCTGTGTGCAGCATGGAGCACTTACACTTGTTAAGTGAACTGTAATATGGGGGTCAAAAGACACAAATGGGTGTTGTTTAATAGTAAAGGATAACTTTGGTGAAAGGTTTGATCCACTTTAAATGTTGATTACTGTATAATTGCAATCTCAAAAATGGTTTCTCAGTTGTGTCTTTCCTCACATATTTTTGCTTTTTTACTATGATGTGATTCCATATGCACATA